ATGTTGCGATAACCTCTGCTTCGAGACAGTACCGCCCTCCATTATTGAAACTGCTAAAATCCTGCAGCCTTTGACGACGAAAGTGCGCGGCGCTATGACGAGAACCACGTTTTGAACACGACCCGCCATCCTTCCTTGAAGCTGTTGCACGCTTCTAGGACGAATGTGTTTGGCGCTGAGAAGAGAACCACATTCTGACAACCGCCCGCCCTCCATCCGTTAGCTTGTTGCAACTACCAAGCTTCAGGGTCATAACTGGTGAGGAGATTTCAGACGAAGCGCAAGGCCCGCCTTACCGACACGTCTGGGGGTTCGCCAGAGAGGAGTCATGCAGTAGGGAGAAGAAGAGCGACGCCGAGCGGCGGTCCAGCCTCATGGCGAACGGGGAGCCCTCAGAAGAGCTCGAAGACGACGCTGCCGAACAGGAGGGGAACGCCGTCGTCGACGGCGTTGTGGGGGGAGGACGGCCATGCTCGGGCACAGCATCATCGCCCTCCCCCCGGCCCTCCGGAAGCCGCCCCGCGCGCGCCAGCGTCCGCTGCGCGCTCGTGCGACGCCACGACGCTGTCGAAGGGCTCGTGGGCGACCCCACCACGGCCGCCGAGCCGAACTCGGACGGTCTCCGTGCCGCAGCCGATGACGCTTCCCGCACGCCCCGCGTGCGTGCCCGTCATGCTGCGGACGAGCTCGCCCGCCTTCCGTGCCCGCGCGGCCGCATGCGAGCGGCCCCTGCGCAGGAGCGGCCGCCGCAGCCACCTCGGATGGGGGGCACCGCCGCGACCGCCGCCACCGCCAGCTGACCAGAGCCTGGCCCGCCGCCGCCAGGAGCAGCCGCAACCCTGGCGACGGCGCCCGCCTGCGCCGCAAGCGGGCCGCCATCGCCGCCCGCCCAAGCGTCGTCGAGGCTCTCGACGTCCGTGCCCGGGCCGTCGCCGTCGCTGTTTCCAGCGGCAGGCGGCCCAGCGCGCCCCGCGGCGCGCCGCTCCGCCAGGCGGCGGCGACGGCGCCGCCGCCGCTCCGCCCTCGCAGCTGAAATCACCTTCGGCATCTTGTCGTCGTGCACCTCAGCGCCAGCATCGCCAGTTGTCGGCACGGGCGGTGCGGCCGCCGCGGCCGATGCCGCAGCAGCCACCGCCGCACGGGCGACAGCGGCGATGGTACGCCGAGGGGCGCGGCCGTCCACAGCGGCGCGGACGGCGGCGGCGACGAGCGCCGCGCCGTCGAGCGTCGGGAGGGCCCCTCTAGCCCGCGCAGCAGGCATCGCGATGGACGGCGGCGCGGCGGGCATGCAACCGCCTGAGCCAACATGTCATGCAGCAGGGAAAACGATGGAGGATGAGGAGGAGGATAAAGAAGATGAGGATGAGGAGCAGGAGGAGGATGACAATCAGGATGAAACGGAGGAGGACAAGGACGACAATGAGGAACATGGAGGAGGACAATGAGGATGGGGAGGAAGAGGAGGAGGAGGAAGAGCACGGGGGAGGCTAGATCGAGGAGCACGAGGAGAAGGACGAGGATGAGGATAATGGCGAGGAGGAGGACAATGAAGAATCGTGATGCTGATGGTGATGATGATGGTGATATGATGATATGATGATGATGTTGATGATGGTGGGAGTGCTGCTGATTCTGATAATGATGAGGGCGATGGTGAAAATGACGATGACGATGACGAGGACAACGTCGAAGACGAGGACGAGGACGATGCCGATGACGATACCGATGACGATGCTGATGATTATGATGATGATGATGGCGATGATGATGGTTCATGATGACGATGACGACGATGCTGCTGCTGCTGCTGATGATGATGATGATGGTTTTTCGCTGCTTCTGATGACTGTGGTGCTTATGACGATCATGATGATGCTGCTGCTGGTTATGAGGATGATGGTGCTGACGATGCTGATGATGATCATTCTCATGATCCTGATGATGATAATGATGATGTGATGGTGGTGCTGCTGATGATGCTGTTGCTGATGATGTTGATGATGCTGGTGACGATGATGGTGAGGAGGATGATGAGGATCCTGCGGATGATGCTGATGACGGTGATGATGATGCTGATGCTGATGGTGATATTGTTGATGATGTTGGTGATGATGTTGCTGATGACGATGACGTTGATGATGCTGGTGATGACGGTGATGATGGTCAGGATGATGATGATGCTTATGATGCTGCGGATGCTGTGGATGATGCGGATGACGATGGTGATGATGACGGTGATGATGGTGATGATGATTATGATGATGCTCATGGCGATGCTGCTGCTGCTGCTGCTGCTGATGATGATGATGATGATGATGATGTTGATGTTGATGGTGCTGATGATGGTGAACATGATGCTGATGCTGCTGATGATGCTGATGTTGGTGCTGATGTTGGGGGGTGAGATCGCAGTGAAACGGAGACCCCCCACCGGGAAATCGGGGTCGGTTTCGTGTTCGTGTCGTGCGTGCGGGTGAGGCGAAGCTGCGCGTGATCCTCCTGTAGCTAGGCCGAAGTAGGAGCGAAAGTCCGTGCGCCCGTCCGCCGGTGGCCGGTTGGGCCGGGCGGTGTCCCGGGTGTCGCGAGCGAAAGTCTGTTTCCCGTCCGCCGGCGGCCGGGAGGTGTCCCAGTTGGGCCGGGCGGTGTCCCGGGTGTCCCGGGTGTCCCGGGCGTCCCAGCGCTAACGCATGTCGCTAATTTCATAATTCATTTTTTTCGGCGCCTGCGGCGGGCTTTCCTTATCTTATCCAACCCATCTTGTCCCATCTTACCTTATCCCACCCAATCCAATCCATCCAATCCAATCCATCAATTCATTTGTTTCTGCGCCTGCGGTTGGCCAATCCAATCCATCTTGTCTAATCCAATCCATCTCTTCCAATCCAACCTATCTTATCTTATCCAATCCATATCTTCCACAGAGAGATGAGATCAAGGTGACAGGCTGGAGGTCAGTCAGGGTGGGCATTTGATCTCAATCCCCCCCAACCTCCTTATCGCCCGCAGGGCGGTCGTATAGGTATTGTGATGATGATGCTGATGATTGCGACGACGACGATGATGATGCTGTTGATGATGATGATGCTGCTGATGATGATGATGCTGATGATGATGATGATGATGATGATGATGATGATGATGATGATGATGATGATGATGATGTGGAAGGAGGGGCAGGTAGGGAAGGAGGGGGAGGGAGAGTATGATGATGAGGGAAGAGGACGGAACACCTCCTCGTGCCGCCCGGAGGTCATGCTCAGCCCCCAGTCCGTCGGGGTGCGCTCGATTGGGCCGTGGCGGCGCCCTCCGCGGCCAAGCAGTGACGCAAGCCGGGGGCGCCTTCCTCCCTCTCCTCCCCTCTCCTCCCCCTCCCCTCTCCTCCCTTCCCTCCTTTCCTCCCTCTCTCATCCCTCCCTCCTCTCTCCTCCTTCTCCTCCTCCTCCTCCTCCTCCTCCTTCCCTCCTCTTTTCCTCCCCCTCCTCCTCCTCCTCCTCCTCCTCCTCCTCCTCCTCCTCCTCCTCCTCCTCCTCCTCCTCCTTCTCGTCCTCTTCCCCCTCCTCCTTCGACGGGATCCTGCCGCTTCCCCTTCCGCTCTGCTGCACGTACCTGGAGCCTCGGGCTCCCGCGGCCCGCTCGGAGCTTCGATCCATCTGCGGTCGGGCCGAAGTATGAGATCGAGGTCGGTTCGGGGCGGGTGCCGGAATGTTCTTCGTGCTTGTTGGATGCTCTGGTGCATTCTGGGGGGGGGGCACCTTCGAACGTTCTTCATTTTGGCAGGCGGAGGGTCTCGTGTTCTTGAAGGGTTTTCTTCTGTCCCAGGTCCGGTTGTGCTCGTGCTCAGGCTCCGCCGCGCAGCCGGCTGATAGCGACGGGATCCGGGCCCCCATGTATTTTGCCAGCAGCAGTGGGCAAACAGTTTTTTTTGGTCAACGTGCACATTCTGTCGTCCACGCTGCAGCATGCGTGGCAGGAGTGGGACACGGCGCACATCCCGCGCGGAAGGCCGAAATATCTCTTTCCCCTCGGCGCCGCGCTCGCTTTTCTGATTCTAGACGCTTCGCGCATCCCCACCAGTTTTCTGACGGCGCCTGGCTTTCTCCTGCGCGCTCGCGAACAAAAAACGTATCCCCACCAGCCCATCCAGAAACGATGTCCAGGCGAGTTGAGGTGATCAGGGAAGTGCGGGAGCAACGAGGGGGACTGCCAAACCGTGCGAAGGAGGGAGGAGGAGAAGGAAGAGGCTGGATGGATGGATAAGGGAGTGGGGAGAACGAGGATGAATAGGATGAGGAGGAGGAGAAGGAGGAGGAGGAGGAGGAGGAGGAAGAAGAGAAGGAGGAGGAGGAGGAGGAGGAGGAGGAGGAGGAGGAGGAGGAGGAGGAGGAGGAGGAGGAGGAGGAGGAGGAAGGAGGAGCAGGAGGAGGAGGGAAAGCAAAATGGCCAGAGGTCTCTTGGATGCCTCTAGGAGCTTCTTGGGATACCTCTTAGGCGCTTCTTGGTGGCCTCTTGGGACGTCTTGAGGGTCTCTTGGTGGTCCTGAGAGGCTCTTGGGCGTCTTGGGTGCCTCGGAGGGGGCCTCTTGGGGCCGCTTGGGGTCCTCTTGGGGGCCTCCTGGGGGCCTCTTGGGGGCCTCTTGGGGCCATCTTGGGGCCATCTTGGGGCCTGTTGGGGCCTCCTGGGCGCTTCTTGGAGGACATCGATCAAAGAAGGGGGCTCCCTTTATTAGCCTTGCCCCTCGGGGGCCCCCCAAGTCGCCTTTTTGACCGTCCCTGAGGCGCTCTTGGAGCGCTCTTGGGCGCTCTTGGGGCCGTCTTGGGGCTCCCTTGGGCCCCTCTTAGGGCTCTCTTGGGCCATCTTGGAGCTATCTTAAGGCCTCGAATGTCCATCGGAAGCGAAAAGGCGAGAAAGCAATATTCCGTTGCCTACGCTTTTCGTTTCTGATTCGCCGTGCACTCCCATCTCTGTAGCCCTTTTTCTGGTTCAGGCTGGGCCCAGAGTGGATGGCCTGGCTGACCAGCGTGCTTCAGAGCGCCTCTTCCGTCACCAGTTCGGTCGTCGCCGGCGCCAGAGGCGGACTGGCCGCGGGCGGGCGCTGCGACTGCCACTGCGAGTGGGCGGCGGCCCCGGACCAGGGCCTCCTCCAGCTGCTGCAGCGGCAGCTGGACCGCTGCGGCCCTGAGCAGCTCCACGGGCAGGTGTGCCCCGCCCTTCCGCCCCCGCCGGTGGCCACCCTGGCCCTCGTCGGCGTGGGGCTCTTCTTCACGGGCGTGCTCTTCGGCTCGTGCCTCGTGATCGGCTCTCGACACGCAGGATGGCTGGCGCCCAGGCGAAGCGCGGCCGGAGTGGTTCTCACAGCTCCAGCGGGGGTCTCGAGTCCTGGTGCGGTACGAGGGGTACCCACTGTGGCACGAGCGGCTGGTGGGCGCCCGCTTGGCGCCATCACGGTGGGTAATGGCGACGCCTAGCGGCGACGTCTACGACGAGGACCTCATGGAGAGCGACGGGGTCCATCGCGTGGGCCCGCTGGGCGGCCTCGGGGCGGGCATGGCGAACGTCGAGGTCTTCCGGTTCGTCAACCTCACGGCGCAGGAGAAGCGCGAGCTGCTCGAGTCCTGCGAGGACTACGCCCGCGATAACGAGGGCGACCTCGATATCGAGGCCGAGGCTCGCCAGGTCCTCGTGGCACAGCACGTGCTTCCTCCTCGCGGCGGCGGTGGCCCTGGCGCTGCGCACGCCCCCGGCGCGGCAGGCGTTGCTGCCGCGGCCCTCCCAGGGGCTGCCGCCGGGCTGGCCTGGGTGGCCGCCGAGTCCCGCCACGGCTTCACCCACGGCCAGGCGGTCGACGCGGTTGGCCAGCTGCTGGCCTCAGGTGACCGCGGCGTGCTCACGGTGCCTGGCGTGGGGTCCCTCTGCGTGGCCGTGGCGGGGTCTCTCGCGCCAGGTGCCGGCGATGGGGGACCTGCGCACGCTCCCAAGTGGCTCCTCCAGCTGGACTCCCACGCAGCGCCACTTCTGGTGGCGCAACCTGCTGCAGGTCTCGCCCAGCGACGCAGGCGTGGAGGAGCATGCCTACATCTCAGAAGTGCTGGAGAGGGCCTGCGTCTTCGACCAGCTCAACTGCTCCGAGCTGGAGACGTTCGAAGTCCTCTCGAGGCGCTACCAGCTCTGGGAGGAGCTGTACGCACCTGAGCTCCCTGCGGCCAAGGCGGGCGAGGAGGGCGACGGCTCCTGGCTCGACGAGCGCCGCATGTTCCTTGGGAGCTCGCGGAGCAAGGGTGCGGCGCTGGTCTGCCCGAGGCTCGAGGGGCACGCGGCGGGCGAGCTTGCCCAGGAGAGCGCCATCCTCGAGGAGAAGCGCAAGGGGAGGGAGGAGAAGTGGCTCGCGCATGGGGCCGCAGCAGGCAATCAGGCCCAGCAGCAGCCGGGCGAGGCCCGCGGCAGCGGCGCGCGCGCGAAGGCGCGCGGCCGCGGCCGGTGAGGCCGCTCTTGAAGCTCACTCACTCCGCCGGTGGGCCTCTCCGGGAGAGGTCGCCGGCGCTTTTGCGCCCGCAGCCATTGGTGGTCGGCTCGGGCATGGCGTTTGGTCCTCAGCCTCCTGGCGACCGCCCTCGCGACCTGCTGCCCTTCCCCGGCGGGCGGGCCCTCGACGAGCTGCTCCTCGGCACGGCGGGCGGCGGGCTCTCCGTAGCGGGCAAGCGGAAGGCCAGGCGGCGCCGGGGCGAGGAGGTGTGGCTCCGTGCGGGCCTGGACGCGCTGAGCGAGCTTGGCGGTGGCCGCAGGGCGTCCAGCGATGCCCAGGTGACCGCCGCCCAGGCTTCGGCGGCGCGCTCTCTGGCCAAGCTCGATGGTGGGCGCGGACCTCCACCGACTGACGTTGACCCCCTGGGAGCATGGAAGGTGCTCCAGGGTAGCGGTGGCGGCTGCGTCGATTCGAGTGTGGCCGACAGTTTGGATGCAACCTACCAGCCTGGCAGGATCTCCCTGCCGCAGTCACGTGCTGGGGCTCTGCCGCTGTGCGACGTGGTCCCAGACGACTTGCAGTGCATGCTGTCAGAGGGCAGCGGCCTTTTCCGCGATCCCGCGGAGGCGCAGGCGGCGCTGCGCGAGCTCGGGCCCGCCATTGCCTTGGACCCCGTGCCGAGGCTGAAGGGCTTCATGTGCGGGTGCTTCCTGGCGGAGCTCCTGGGCAAGGGCATCTTGGAGAAGGCCGCCGTCGTCAAGGAGACCTCGGGGGCTTTCTTCGTCAAGCGTAAGGATGGCTTGCTGAGGCTGATCTTTGACACGCGACGGAGTAACTGCCACTTTACTCCTCCTCCGTGCACTTCGCTGGCCAGCGGTGAGTCACTGGCGGACCTCGAGAGCGAGCCTGGAGCGCGACTCTGGGTGGCTTCCGCCGGTATCGAGGTCTGCTTCTACCAGTGCGAGCTGCCCGCCAGCTTTCGGCCCCTCTTCGTGCCCCCGCCGATTTTGGCGCGCTACCTGCCCGCCAGGTGGTGCGAGAGGCTGGGGCTTGCAGGGGGCGACGTGGAGTGCGCCTTCCAGGCGCGAGTCGTGCCAGTGGGCTGGGCGTGGGCGGTGCGCTTTATTCAGAGAGCTCACGAGCACCTGCTTTCCTCGCGTTTATCCTCGACCCCGTGGGTGAGGGGCAAGGTGCCGGCGACGCCCGCGTGCGAGGGCCCCTCCAAGCTCTGCTTCATCGACAACCTGGCCGTGGTCTCCGACAAGGAGTGCGAGGCAGTGAACGGGATCACCCACATGCTGACGACGCTCGACGGCGCGGGCGGACCTGAGTTTGATTTCACTTGAGATGCCTCCTGGCCGCGTTGCGCGGGTGCATTGTGAGCGGCAAAAGTAGTGTTGTGTTCGTGGGCGCGCCGTGCGAATCCTTGTCTCAGGCCAGGCGCGGCGGTTTTACCTCTCGCATGCCCAGGCGCCTCCGCGATGCTTCTCATTCCTTCGGTCTTCCCGATTTGTCCGCCGCCAATCGTGCCGACCTTGGTCGTGGCAATCTTCTGGCAGCCCGCGCGGGCCAAGTCTCGGGCCTGGCCCGTGAGTGCGGTATCCCGGTCGGCGAAGAGAGCCCCATCATTAGCTGGCCGCGGCTTTTGCCCGACGGATTGCGCAGATAGTCTTGTCCGCGCAGTCAGGAAATCGTCGCCGACCACTGTGCTGCCGGTCGGCGTTTCGAAGCTCAGGCCAAGTCTCACCTCCAGTTCTGTCCTCTTGCTCCCGCCCTCGTGAAAAATATATGCCGCGGTCGGGGCCTTTGCGACTACGCGCGGCAACCCCACTTCGAGCTCTTTGGCAAACGCAGCGGCGCCGCTCAGGACGCGTCAGAAGGCCTCTTGCCCTGACGCGTTGCGCGCCCAATTAATTGTCCTCAGTCTTCTCCCAAGGTATCGTCAGCAAAGTATTCTCGCGTAGAGAATGTTAATGCGTAGCTAAACCAGCTCAGTGCTTGATGTGGAGATATGTATTCAGGCGTTGATCTCTGCAGCGTCTGCTGCCCAAACCTCCCTTTACCATGCGTCGTCTTCAGAACAGTATACGGGAAAAAAACGCATGAACGTTTTCCAACGACGTTGTCCTCACAGATCCGTTACGTCCGTTCTATAGTCTTCCTGGCCCCCAGTGCCAGCATGCAGCCTCCTCCATGCCTTTGTCTAGAGGGGGCAGTGTCTCCTGCCAAAAGCTTTCTCTGCCAGCCATCGTCTTCCAAGCGGTATGCTGGAAACAGAAGTGCACACTTGTAAGCTGGCTGTTTCCATTACCTAGGAGTTTGAGCATTTAGGAAAGCAGCGTCTACATCGACACCGACAGCTACATTAACATCTACACCTGCACCTATATCTACATCAACATCAACAGCGAGATTCACACCTACATCTACATCTACACAAACATCTACATCTACATATACATTTACATATACATATACACCTACATCCACATCAACACCTACATCTACATCTACATCTACATTTACACTTTCGCATTTGTGTTGCTGTTGCTTTGCAGTGCCTTTGCTTTTGCTCTTGCCTGTGCGTTTGCCTTTGCCTTTTGTTGTTGTTTTTGATGTTGCTTTTGCTTTGCTTTTGTTCTTGCTTTTGCTTGATTGTGGTTTTGCGTTGCCTGCGCACAGACACACACACGCGCTGCGCTGTGCTATACTAAGCAATGCTATGCTATGCGATGCTATGCTATACTGCGCTATGCTATGCCATGCTGAGCTATGCTATGCTATGCTATGCTATGCTATGCTTGGCTATGCTTGGCTATACTATGCTATGATATGCTGATGCTGCGCTGCGCTATGCTGCGCTAAGCTAAGCTAAGGTAAGCTAAGCTATGCTAAGCTAAGCTAAGGTAAGCTCAGCCAGGCTAAGCTAAGCTAAGCAAAGCTAAGCCAAGCTAAGCTAAGCTAAGGTGAGATACGCTAATATGAGGTAGGCGAAGCTAAGCTAAGCTAAGCTAGGCTGGGCAACGCTAAGCCAAGCTAAGCTAAGCTAAGCTAAGATGATATAAGCTAAGCTACACTAAGCTAAGCTAAGCTAAGCTAAGCTAAGCTAAGCTAAGCTAAGCTAAGCTGGGTGAACCCAGGGGGCGCAACTGGGGGAACCGCGGGGCGGGGACTGGGGGAACCGCCCGGGGCGCTTTGCACTGTCCGGCCCCTTTAAGCTAAGATGGTAAGAACCCTTCTAGGCAGAGCTTAGGTAGGGAATGATTGTGCGCAGCGCTCAGGCGAACATCACATCATGATAGCGACCCGCGCTCCATCCTTGTAAATGTCGGCAGCGTTTAAGACGAATGTGCGCGGCGATACGGGGCGAACCACATCTTGAAAGCGTCCCGCCCTCCATCCTTGTATTGGCTGTAAATGTAAAGTTTTAGGATCACAATTGATGGGGAGGTCTCACAGGAAACGCCCCGGTGCCTTGCCAACTCGCGACGCGTGGGTGTCAGGGAAGAATTACTTATAGGGCACAATCATGGACAAGGAGGGGGAACACGATGAGGAGGGGGAGGGGGGGGCCGGGAGGAGGGAGCACAGATGGATGATGGATGCGTGGGGATGGGGCAGAAGTGTAATGGGATCTGAGAGGAAACTGTGGGGGTGGGGTGGGGATACAGGGGGGAAGACTACCACCTGTAGCCATCTAAGGCTTGAGTTGGAAAGGGGAGGGAGGAAGGACGGGCGAGGGAGGAGGAGAATCCTGCTCTTGTTGTTGCTGCTGCTGCTCCTCCTCATCCTCATCGTCCTCCTTCCCATTCCCTTTGCCCAGGGTGCTTACGCCATTCCACGAAGCAGCGCGTGTTTGCGACGATCTTGGAAGTTATCTAGTGTGTCAGGAGCTTCTGGGATGCATATGAAGGGGCTCGTGGGAAACCTCTCGGAGGCCTCTTCGAGGGAAGACGCGCAAAGTGAACATGAGGAGGGAGACGACGCGACACGGCGTGTCGGGTTGTTCCGAAATAGCGAGCGCCATTTGCTGGTCGTGGTGTGGGGTCGGAAGCTGGGGAAGGGAAGAAGCGATCACAATGGAACAGACGTGTGATAATTCTGCAGGTCCTTGTGGCCCACCACCTTGGGCCTGTGGGACAGGGGTTTCTTGGATGGTTGTGTGTTGCTGGGGAAGCTTTTGAGGCGACTATTGGAGGCATGTTGGAGTATCCTGGGATGCCTCTCGGCAGCCTCGTGGAACGATTGTCGAGGCATCTGGGAGCCTTTTGGAACCTTTGGGGGCCTCTTGGGAGCCTCTTGGGGCTCTCTTGGCCCGTCTTGGGAGCCCCTCAGGCCGCCTTGGGCCTATCTTGCGGCTCTCTCCATTTGTTTTGGGAACTTCTTGGGCCGTCTTGGGACCCTCCTGGGCCGTTTCCGGGCGGACGCGGGACGATCTTGGGAGCTCTTGAGCCGTCTTGGGCGCTGTGGAGACGCAACAGGTATGCTACGCTTTCCCACGTGCATTGGGCGATTTTCGTTTCGTGGGGCTCTCTCGGCGGTTCTCTCAGAGCATTGGTGGGCCGTCTTGGGCGCGTCGTGGGCCGTCTCGAAGCCAGCTTCGATCGCCGTGGTGCTATTTTGGGTCATCGCAACGCTTTCTTGGACTGTCTTGGCGCTTCGTTTGGGCTCTCCTGGGCTGTCCTGAGGCGCTTGGGGCTCTGGAAAGGCTTCACTCCCTTTATCCTCCTTCTCGATCTAGCGCGTCGCCTGTAGTCCACCCCTGCTCTTCCAGAACATCCGACCTCCATTGCATAATAGCGACTCGATTGGCCGATCGCCCAAAAGCTGCCACTGCCCTCGCGCATGTGCTTTTCTTCGCTGTGTGTCGCAGTTGCCGTCACGCCGTCGCTGCTGGATGCAACATCAGCGCCGCGCCGCGCTGGAAGCTGGAAGCCGACCACGAATCGTCATTGGCATCACTGTGGTCGACATCGTGGTGGCTACTGCCGTCGCCGCCTCCAGCGTCCGCCCGCGTTTGCGCCATCCGTCTTGACGGTGGAGCTGGCATACCAATGATGCTTCCCGTCTCTCATAGAAGGCGGGCACACGGTGTGGCCCGTACTGGCACGGTGCGATACGACACTGTAGGCGAGGTTGGTCTGTGAATCTGCTTTCAGTTTTCCGATTGGATCTCTTCGTGCAGCCAGTACCTGCACCGGAAACGGACTGTCGCAGGAACAAGATCCAGACCACACCTTTACCCGTCTTCGACCCCTTGCGAGCCCCACCCCTTCGGGTTCCATCGACGCTGGGGTGTGTGACACCCCCGCTGGGCTTCGCGCGGCTGCAGACATCCTCACTCGAACCCTGAGCCCTGGCCGTTTTCTTAGGAACTTGACCCGCAGGGGTAGGGCTCACACGCTGTTGCCTGAACGGGCCACGCCGCTTGTCCGGCCGTGGCTGGAGCCGGCATGCTCGGGGCTTGAGAGAGGCGGGGGTCCATGCAAACGGGTGTCAGCCAGAGCGCCCGACCTTGTAGGATCCTTCAGAGCCAGGGCGGCATTGACCCGGGCTTGGGCGCAGGATCCTGCAGGATCCTGCAGGATCCTACGAGTCCTGACTGACACGGGTCTGGATTGACCCGGGTCAGAAGATCCCCGAAACATGCCAGTGAAGCCTCCCGGCTGTTCGCCACCGCTGTTGCCTCCGCGGCCGCGTGTCCCACCCCTGCCCGTCCCCGCTCCTCCGCGCGTCTCCGCGCCACTGCCTCCCCGCCTGCCTTCCTGCCTGCTGCCCTCCCCTCTCTTTTGGTTCAATTTTCAAGCAGTGGCGAAGCGTCCTAGCTCTCCTATAGGCCTACCAAAGTATGTTCTAAGAACCTTAATCGTGTGGTCTGTACGACATGTTCTTCGAACATCTCTTACTGGGACTGTCTTGTTTTCACACAGCGGGCTTATGCTCTAACAACATTGCTTCTGTTTTGTCGAACATTTTTGGGTTCTAAAATCAGGAGGGGAAAAAACACACAGACACAATTATTCGTCGATTCCCCAGAAAATATAGGAAAACATGGGAAGTGGGAGGGAAGACAGAAACCCAGAAAATATGGGAAAATATGGGGAATATTTTATTTGTGTGTATTTATTTGTGTGTCCTGGGGCCCCTTCATAAGAACCTGTCGTGGTAGGACTGTAGGAATGCCGGGGCGGTCGGCCCCTGCTCAAGAGTTGCAGCTTCAGAGCAGGAATATTGTTGGTCCCCCCCCCGGCCGGGTGCCTGTTGTGTCTTCCAATCCAGGTGCTCATCCTGGGGCTCGTGCCTTGTTCTTGACCAGGGAAGTTCTAGGGCGTCAGGATGCGCTGTAGGCCCCCGAGCTGCAGCCACAACGGCTCTGTCCAGGAGTCGCGCTCTCGCGTGGTACTGCGCCGCGCCTTCGTCATTCAGGGATCACGCTTTCGCCCTGGACTTCCTCACGATTTACTAGGGAATCGTGCTACAGTCGGACCGAGGTATAAGGTCGAGGTCTGTTCGGGTGCAGGGTACCCCAATGTTCTTCGTGTTTGTTGGATGTTCTCGTGCACCCTGGGGAGGGTACCCTTGTATGTTGTGTGCGGTTTGGCCAGCGGAGGACCTCGTGTTCTTGAGGGATTTTCTTCTTGTCTAGGTCCGACTGTATCGCTCGCATGTTCCTCGCGATTTATCTTGGATTGACGCTTCAGCTTGACCCGGCCGCCTAGGCCCACCCGCCCGACCCGCCTGTGAGGGTTCGCCCGCCTGACCCGTCCGTCTGGTTCTGCTGCTTGTGCTCCTGCTCCTGACCCTCTCGAATGTCCCCCTCGTGCTCCATCCTTCTCCCTCCCGCGTTGCTCTTCCCTTCTCCCTCCCTTCCCCTGTTTTAGGAGCTGCGCCAACTACGCGTGGCAGGTAAGGAAGGTAGGAGGATAAGATCGAAAACGAATCGGGCTTGTGACAACAGACATCACGGGCCCAGACTACCCCGCCAAGCTCTCGCAGTTGCTGGCAACAACTCTATGTACCAAGACCGTTCGTCAACGAAGTCTGTATACCCCTCTTAATTCATAAGCTCACATCCTTGGGACGACTTGGGATCAGGCAGTCTGTTATCTTGGGTATACACCCTCCAGCCTTTTCTCTTACAGTATCGCGTGTGTGTGTGTGGGCCAGCTCGTGATGACAGAGGTAGGGTTGACGAGACACAAACTTATCTGAACATGACGATCCGAACGTCAGTGCGAAACAAAGCCTGGAGGTTAGGAATAGAAGATGCTCCGTGTTCTCTCCGTACACGTCTCGCTCAAGTCTCTCCCCCCACTGCCTCCTACATATGTTTCGCCGAACCTCGTAGTTTTCTTTTGGATCGCGCAGGCAATTTTTTGGGTATATACCCTCCAGCCTAGGCTCTTACAGTATCGTGAGTTTGGGCCAGCTCGTGATGACGGTTGTAGAGTTGATGAGACACAAGAAACTGACGATCCTGATATGTTTTCTTTTCTTTCGTAGCGAGAGGAGGTCTGTTCCCCTTCTCTCCCTTCCCCCTCCCCTTCCTTCCTTCCTCATTCCGCTCGCCATCCCTCTCCGGCCCTCGTTTCGACTCTAGGACGGGAAATCGCAAGCACAGCCAGGCCAGTTGGAGCAGAATTTGCAGGGGACCCCCACCCGAAAGAGAACGGAGCCGCTCTTCTTTCTGACGCTTTCGGTGTGCTTGAAGTATGCAGCGCACCGGATGTGCTCAAAAAGATTGCCCTCCCTCTCCCCTCTCCCTTAGGACTTCGATCACGGACCCTTGGTTAACCGCAACTGTCCAGCTTTCGCGCCGAAGTCCATAGAACAAATGCTTGGAGCCGACGCACGCCGCCGAAGACTGTCAGAAAATCGCCGAAGACCGCCGAAGACCGCCGAAGACAGCACGAGGACCCCTGAAAGCCGCCGAAAACCGCCCAGGGCTGGTGGGCAGCAAGGGGTCCATCGTCGAGCGCGCAGCCCTCCTCCCCTCCCACTTGCCCTCGCCCCCTCGCCCCCTCGCCCTGCTTCCCCGCCCCCGTGCCCTCGCTGGCCGCGCCCGCCCCTCCCTCTCCGGCGGGCCCCGAGGTGGACGTCGTGGCCGCGGCGTGGAAGAGGATGTCCCGCCTGGCCCACGCGGAGGAGCGCGGGCCGCGGCAGGGCAGGGAAGGGGGTGGCGAGGGAGAGCGGGCACACTGGCGCTGTGGGGAAGCAGCCGAGCCACAGTTCCGCCATGCGCGGGATGCCCACGGGGCGCCCGCCTTTCAGGCGGGGTGCTCCGCAGGCACGAGCAGCAGAGCCTCGTCTCGACCAGCAGCCTCGTCCCAAGGCAAGGGGCCGTGCCAAGCAAGTCCCACGGACACCGCTAAGGAAGGGTGGGGGCCTGCATCCAGCGGCTCGAATGGTCGCGGCACTAATGGGACAGCCAAGTTTTCAAAAGGAACCGCCATGCAACTTTGAAACGGTTGCGAACTTTTAGGAGCAACTGGGGCGGCGCCAAGGCGAGGGCCACATGTTGAAAACCACCCGCCCTGCATCCTTGAAACTGTTGCGAACTTTTGAGACGAGTTTCCGCGGAGCTACGGCTAGAGCCACATTTTGAAAAGGAACCGCCCCTCCATACCGGAAGCTGTTCCCAACTTTTAATGCGAATGCGCGCGGTGCGAAGCCACAGTTTGAAAACCAACCGCCCTTCCTGCTTGAAACTGCTGCAACTTTCAAGGGGGAGGAGGATTTACAACGAGGAGCAAACGAAGGAGGAGGAAGAGGAGGAGGAGGAAGAGGAGGAGGGGCAGGGGCAGGGAGAGGGGGAGGACCAGATTCCTACCCCTTCTTCCGTCCTCCATTCTCCTTTAATTACATTGTTTTTAAACGGTCCTCCTTCTTCCCTCCTCCCCTTCCTTCCGCCATCTTTGCTCTTCTTCCCTTCATCATTGTTCCCCCTTCTCTTTGTCCCTTTCTGTTTTTCTTCTCTCTCACTGTCTCTCGCTCTCTCTTTCCCTTAGTCTTCCTCTCTCTCCATCCTCCCTCTTCGCTCCTGCGTCCTCCTCCTCCTTCTCCTGCTCCTCCTCCCCCTCCTCCTCTATTCATTCTCTTATGAGTAACTCCTCCCTGTCGCACCCCGAGGCCGGTCGAAAGGGCGGGTCGGGCGTTTTGCTCAAGACTTCCTCACCACTCATGCTACGGAAGCTGAAATCTGCAACAGCTTCACGGATGGATGCCAGGTCGTTTTCACGATTTGGCTCTCGCTTTAGCGCCGCTCACATTCGTTGTGAACAGCTGCAAATGTTTCACGGGTGGAGGGCGTGCCTTATTCACAATGCGGCTCTCGTCTTAGCACCGCGCACATCCGTCATAAGACATGGCAAGGGTTTCACAGATGGGGGCAGGTGGTTTTCAAAATGTGGCTCTCGCCTCAGCGCCGCGCATACTCGTGTAAAGAAAGGGCAGGAGCTTCGCGGATGAAGGGCGGTTCCTTTTCAAACTGTGGCCCTCGCCTAAGCGCCGCGCGCATTCGTTTTAAGAGCTGACAGCAGGTCTTGGATTCTCAGGGTGAACATCCCAGATGGGTGTTTTGGAAAGATGTCCGATTGCCAAGGCGCAGAAGTTACATGGATTTCCCCCAACCAGTGATTGCACTGAATGGGTCCGAGCGGATCTTGAAGGATTTGACGAAAGGGGACGGCCACTTTCGGAAGGCCGCCGGGTTCCCGGGTTCCGGGTTCCCGGGTTCCTGGGTTCCCTGTTCCGGGTTCTTGGTTCCCGGGTTCCCGGTTCCGCGTTCCCGATCGCGGGGTTCCCGGGTTTTCGGTTCCGGGTTCGATCGGTCGATAGAGTGATATCATGTTTTTTTTCGATCTCGCTACCGATCGCACCATGGGATTCACTGTCGATTTCACGATCGTTCTCATGCTCGCACAAAATTTTAAAACCATCCATTGGTTGGGGTGTTTGTCTGGTGTAAAATGGTGTTGAAATCCTAGGGATGGCGTTTTGACGCGATTCATCATCGTCAAGACGCAACCGTAACGTGGGCTCGTGGAGTTCAAGATGTTCATTCGGTTGTTGTCCAACGGGGCACTTCTGTCAGTGAACATGAATACTTGTAGGGCCTGTGAACAGGAAGCTGCAAGCAGGGTATATGTATTGCAATATCGTTGATGCGTCTTGGGTTCACACTGGTCCTCCTCCTTTTTCCCTTCCTCCTCCACCTCCTCTTCTTGCTCCACTTTATCGGCACGTAGGACGCAGGCCACCCTAGGACATCGAGTCCTCCTGCTCCTTCTGCTCCTCCTGTTCCTCCTCCAGGTTATGTTCCTGCTCCTCTTCCTCCTCCTCCGCCTCCATGTGCCCAAACACACGGTGCACACTGCTACTGGCCTTACCCTCCCCGCACTCGCATGATGTCGCTGCGTTTTGTTATGTTGCTCTTAATGTGCCTCGGATACTACCGGAATTTAGTCTCTGGAGCACAGTATGGATGGCAGCTGTCGGCCGTCTGAGCCAATTCGTTCTGGGAGGAATTCTGTAGTGTTTCGGTGCTGCAGAATAATCCCATGTGCGCTTTCTCCGATCGTCTCGTCGAAGTCGCGTTGCAGGCCCGCCATGGACTTCGTCTGCCTCACTGGGACGGGGACGCAGATTGGAGGAAGGTCGGGGAGCAGTGGATGCTGGAGGCGGGATGGGCTCGGTGGCCGTTTTCGAACGTAATTGCAGAATGCTTCATCTTCTAGGTTCACGAATTCCTTTTTCTCCTCCTCCTCCTCCTCCTCCTCCTCCTCTTCCTCTTCCCCTCCCCTAATGTGTTCACCCGCGCTCTCCCCCCTCCAGGCTTCCCTCTCGTTTTCACCTTCGCCCTCTCCCGAACTTCCGCCCTACTTCTCCCCGCTTCCTGTTTGCCCTGCCCCTCCACGCGCGGCGAGAGGCGCTGAGCCTGGAGTACTCGCCGCGGATGCTCGGGTGCCAGCGCCTCGGAAGGACGGGGGTGGCGGAGGGCGTGGGGTGGGGGGGGGGGCGGGAAGGAAACTCCGAGGGCTTCCTGCCCTCCCTCTTCCCTTGTTCACCCTCCTCTCGCTTCCATCCTGCTTCCCTCCCTCTGGTTCCCTGCCTCCTCCTCTCTTCTCCTCCTCCTCCTCCTCCTCCTCCTCCTCCTCTTCCTCTTCCCTTTTTCTCCTCATTCCTCCTTTCTCTTTCTCTCCTTCTACCCTTTGCCTCCATTCTCCTCCTCCTCGTCCCCCTCCTCCTCTCCTCCTCTCCTCCTCCTCCTCCTCCTCCTCCTCCTCCTCCTCCTCCTCCTCCTCCTCCTTTCCTCCTACCTCTCTCCTTTCCTCGGCCACCCTCCCTCTTCCTCCCCTCCTCCGTCCTCCTTGTTCTGTCGGCATCCGTCTTTCTTCGCTCTTCCCTCCCACTGCCCGCCCTCGCCGGGCAGCGGCCAGGTGTGAAGTTGCCTGGCTGGATTCTCCTGGCGTCATCCACGGGAACATCGCTCCAGGAGCCGCCGGCTGGTGAGGAGCACTTGCGAAGACAGGAGACGTGACAGACAGACCGAAGAAAAAGGGAGGAGAAGGAGGAGGAAAACCATAAAATAAGAACCTCGCAGGGCTTCCTGGCCTCCGGGTCCTTCGGCCCTCGCTCGGGCGCCTGGCCTCCTTCGGCCTCCTCCAATGGCCGCTTCCGGCCTCCTCCGGGCGTGGAGGCGATGGCCGGGTGCTCCTGGCCTCCTTCGGGCGCCCCCAGGTCCTCCTCCTCCTCCTCCTCCTCCTCCCCTTCCTCCTCCTCCTCCTCCCCCTCCCCCTCCTCCTCCTCCTCCTCCTCCTCCTCCTCCTCCTCCTCCTCCTCCCCCTCCTCCTCCTCCTCGATCCTCCTCGATCTTCCTCGATCCTGCTGGCCTCTTCCGGGGCTCTCGTCGGGCCCCGGTGGCCACAGCAGCCGCAGGGAGGCGGGACAGGCGAGAAGGTCCAGGTCATGAAGTTCAAGTGGTTGAGTGGTCTCTGCCTCCCGGGGGAATATCCCTGGGAGGCCGCTGGGGCATCTGGGAACGTCGTTGAAGCCCTTGGGATCTGTCTTGGAGGTCCTCTTGGAGGAACTTGCCCGCCTGGCGCACTTTTGGAAGCCTGGTCTTCTTCGTCGTGCACTGTTTGGCCCTTTCTGGTCTAAGACGGGACCGCGGACGCACTGGTTGTCACGATTTGGGACGCTCGGGTGGGCCGACTTAGGGAAATAGTCAGCTTCCTCCCCCCTTGGCATGACCTCTGGCCGCCCCATGACGCGCGCTTTGGCACGTCGCGTGGCAGGTCCCGGACACGTCCAGAGCACGTCCCCCGATACGTCCCCTGACACGCCCCCCGGCGCATCCCCTATTGCGCCCCTGGCACTTCCTGTGGCGCGTCCGTGAGCCTGTGTCTGGTGTCGTGTCGTTCCTTGTCGGAGCTGAATCGGATTCTGAGGTCGAGTTGATTGAGCGTCCCGCACGTTTCCACTTCAATTACATTTTGGGCAGCTACTATTTGCTCAGGCAGCTCGAGCTTAAGATCCAGATCAGGTCGGTCAGGACTCGGATGCAAAGGAGGATTCGATCCACGTCGCTATAGAGCACAATCGCGGCAGGGCACATCGCAATTCAGCACGGCGCAGCACAGCACAGCCCTTGGCAAGGTACACCAAGATCGATGCACGCAGCAATGCAATTGCCCGTCGCCAGATCAGGTGTCTTGCACACGTTGCTATGCCTCATATTTCTATGTTCCTTTCTGGATTCGTGGGTCGACCATGTTTTTGAAAGGGATTGGGTGGGGGGGGGGGCGAGAAGTTGCCTGTTGTGTCCAATGCGGGCTCCCCCCCACCATCCATTGAACAAGAAGCAGTACAAAGTACATGCTGCACCAAACTCTAGATCATGCGCGGCCGCCCCGTGATCACTTTGCATTGGTTTTTGACACTGACGGGGGGCTGGGGCGGAATGTTGCTTGCTGTGTGCAATGCCCCCCCCTCCCCCCCCACACCAGCCACTGCAACAACAATACAGCATTCACTTGGTACCGCAATCAGGATCGTGCGCGGGCGCCCCGCGATCACTTTGGCACTGTTTTTTGACAGGGTCGGGCGGAGGGGCGGGCATATTGCGTGCTGCGTGCAGGCCCGCTAGCCCTGCCGAAAACAGTCACAAATGGATTGCGGGCGCACGCGCACACGCAGTGCACACAGTGCCAGCAAACGCGCTGTCACTGTGCACGGGTTTCTGACAGAGGCGGTGTGGGGTCGACCTGTTGCCCAGTGCGGCGCACCAGGTGCGCGTGGCGCACCCTGCACGTGCGGCGCACCTCGCGGGCGTCGCGCACTTGGCCGGCGTCTGTATCGGTTGCCGACGGTTGTCGACTGGGAGGGCGGGTGGAGACGTGCGGCGTTCCCGCTGGGAACTTGATCGCGGTTCCCTATGCGACTGGCAGCAAGCCCGTCCCCATGTCGACCCCGCTCCCACCACCCCGCTCAAAAAACATGACAAATTAGATGTTCGGGCGAAATCGTTGGTCGTGCTCGTGGGCCCCGCGACCACTTTGGGGAGGCCAGCATGTTGCCTGCTGTGGGCAGGCCCACCATCCCGTGAAAAGAAAAAAAGAAAGGGCCACCATCCCAGACAACCAACAAGACACACACACACACACACACGCTACAAAATCTGGATCATGCGCGGCCACCCCGCGATGCGTACTGCCTGCTGTGTAAAGGCCCACTGGACACCATGATGGCCACCCCGCCGAAATTGCGCATTGGTTTCCGACAAGGATGGTGGAGGCCAACATGTTTCACGATGTGTGCTGTTACGTGTGCCGGAACACCTGGCACACTTTGCGCGTGCCCCGAACGTGGCGCACCTGGCGCGGCTGGAGCATGCGGCACACGTGGCGCACGTGGTGCACGTGCAGCATTTGGCGCACCAGGCGTTCCTGGCACGCTTGGGCCCCAGGGGTGGCTGGCGCACCCGGCGCGCGTGGTGCGCTTGGCACGCGTGGCGCACTTCGCCCCAGCGTCGCGCACATAGGGTCTGTTTTGGTTCCCTGTAGGTGTTCATCCACAAACGACCGCTGAACATGCTGAGGCTCGGGTGCTACTGATGTGTTGGGAGGGCCGGTGGGAGTGAGCGAGACGGCTTGCGGGCGGGGAGTGTTTTGACCCTTCCCCCTACCTCCTCTCCTTGGACCTGGACGGGGTGCCCCGCGACCCCTCGGGGCGCCCAAAAAGGTTCAAACGAAAAATCGATAACCATGGATCCAATTATAATTGTGGACAAATTTTGGCCTCCTGGGGGGCGGGCGATGTCAATTGAGTGCACCCCCGTCTTTGATCGAGCTCCTCCAAGACGGCACCAAGGTGGCCTCCAAGGCTCCCAAGAGTGCCAGAAAAGGGCCCCAAGATGCGCCCTGGCGGCCGCAAAAGGCTCCCAAGAGGTACCCAATTTGTCCCTAAGAGATCCCCAAGAGGTCCCAAGAGGCTTCCCCGATGCACCCAAGATTGTCAAGACGCTCCAAGAAGCCCCCGGGACCGCCGAGAGGCCCCCGAGACTCCCCAAGAGGACTTTAAGAAATGTTCAAGAAGCATCCGAAGAGATATCCAAGAGGCCTCTGGCCTGTCTGCTCGCACTCCTCATCCTCGCCCTCATCCGCCTGTTCCTCCTCCTCCCTCCTCCTCCCTGCCCCTTCCACTTCCTCGTCCTTTACCGATTCCCCCTCCACCCTCCACCTCTTTGGGTATGACGACTTCCCCAATCTTCTTCTCCACTGCATGCTTCTCCACATTGCTGGTCAAGGCAACTTGCCGGGGCATCGATTCTGGTTGGGCTGGTGGGGTTACGTGAAGCCGCTAGAATATGTAATTCTTCCTTGTCGCACCCCAAGACGTGTCGGTAGGGCGGTCAGGGCGTTTCGCTGGGATATCCCCGCCGCTTATGATCCTCAATATAGAGTTCTGCAACATATTCACGAATGCAGGGCGAGTCCTTTTCAAAATGTGGCCCTCGCTTCAGCGCCGCGCACATTCGTGTCAAAAAGGATGGAGGGCGGGTCGTTTGCAATGTGTCGCTGTCGATTCAGCGCCGCGCACATTCGCCCTGAAAGGTCGCAGCGCATTCACGGACGGAGGGCGGAGCGTTTTTTTAAATGTGGTTGTCGCCGTAGCGCCGCGCGCATTCGTTTTAACGGGTTGTAGCAGCTTCAGAAATCGAGGGCGGGTAGTTTCCAATCTGTGGCTCTCGCCAGAGCGCCGCGCGCATCCGTTCGTAAATGTTTGCAACAGTTGTGCGGATGGAGTGCGGGTGGCTTTCAACATTCGCCTAAGCGTTGTGCACATTCGTCTCGCACGGCTTCGAAATGCCATTGCACAACAGTAAAGTTCATTCAACGTGTTGAAGTCCTAGCAGCGGTGTTCTGGCACGAATTGGGATTGCCAGGACGCAGCAGTCACGTTAATCAGCGGCGTTGCAGTCCCAGTGGCGGTTTTTGGGCACGATTGAGGATTCTCAGACGGTTGTCGTCTAATGGACCACTTCCCCGACTGAACAAGTTAGGTTAAGCTCCTGCTGGCGGGACATATGAAGGGCGGGTGTCTTGCATCATCGTTGATGCGTCTTGGGTTCACACTTCGCCTCTTCCTCCTCCTCCTTAAGTCTGTAATGGGCGGAGGAGGATGCGGACCAGTCGGAGGAGGAGGAGGAGGAAAAGGAGGAGGAGGAGGAGGAGGATACTTAGGAGGAGGCGTAGGAGGAGGAGGAGGAGGAGGAGGAGGAGGAGGAGGAGGAGGAGGAGGAGGAGGAGGAGGAGGAGGGGGAGGAGAAGGAGGAGGAGGAGGAGGAGGAGGAGGAGGAGGAGGAGGAGGAGGAGGAGGAGGAGGAGGAGCGGGAGGAAGAGGTGGGTTTCGTGCCGTGGCCGCTCCACGGCTCCGCCCCCTGCTCTGCCTTGGTCCGTCCTTTGTGCCCTGCGCTTCTTTGTTCACCTGGGCTCCCCTCGTCGTCGTCCTCGCCCTCGTCCTCTTCGTCGTCGTCGTCGTCGTCGTCGTCCTCGTCGCCGCCGCCGTCGTCGTCGTCGTCGTCGTCGTCGTCGTCGTCGTCGTCGTCGCCGCCGTTGCCGTCGTAGTCGCCGTCGCCGTAGCTATCGCCGTCGTCGTCAACGTCGTCAACGTCGTCGGCGTCGGCGTCGGCGTCGTCGTCGTCGCCGTCGCCGTCGCCGTTGCCGTCGTAGTCGCCGTCGCCGTAGCTGTCGTCGTCGTCGTCGTCGTCGTCGTCGTCGGCGTCGTCGGCGTCGTCGTCGTCGTCGTCGTGGTCCGCCAGGTGCGCGGTGGAGGCCATCGCCAGGGCCGAGCTCGCGGGCGGCGAGGACACCCTCGGCGGTGGAGAGGCGGCAGCCTCTCGGGTGTTGGGGGGGGAGGGAGGGGGGGGAGGGCAAGGGGGGGAGGGCAAGGCGTAGGACGGCAAGGGCGAGAGGGCGAGGAGGGGTGGGGGTCGAGGGGGGATGGGGCGAGGAGGGATGGGGCGAGGGGGGCGGGGGAGGCGAAGAGGAGGCCGAGGGCGGGGGGGGCGAGGGGGAGGAGGTTCCAGGGCGAGGAGGGACGGAGGAGGGGTCGAGGAGGAGGGGGCGAGGGGGAGGGGGCGAGAAGGAGGACGAGGCGGAGAGTTATCTGCGGCGCGCGCAAACGGGCTCCAGTGCGGTCACATGGGGGTAGCTTGGGGACCGCCCCCCCCTCCCCCCCTTCTGTTTCCTCCCCTCCTCCCCCCTCCTCCACCTCCCCACCTTCCCCCCCCCAACCTCCCGCCATCCCCCCCTCCCCGAGGTTCCCGAAGCGTTGCTCTGCAGCAGCTCTGGTTCCCGACCTCCCCCCCCCGAGGCTCCCGACGCCGTGCCGCGCCCCTCGGCGCCCACCGTAGCCCTGCTCGCGGAGACGTGGGCGGAGGCCGAGCGCGGGGGCCTCGGCAGCTTCGGGGAGGCCTGGTACGAGGAGCGCCGCGCGGTTTCTCCCCAACCCTCCCGTATTGGATTCATTGTTATAGCGTCCCTTCTCCTCGTCCTCGTGCTCTTCCCCTCCCGGGTCTTCATTCCCCGTCTCTTCCTCCCTCCTTTCCTCCTCTTGCCTCCCACCTCCTGCCTGCACCACACCTCTGTTCTGCCTCCCTCCTACCTCCTGGGGGCTGCGATAGTGATGTCGATTCCGTGAGATCGATCGTGAGATCGATCGTGAGATCGCTCGTGCGATCTATAGTGAGATCGATAGTGAGATCGATAGCGAGATCGATAGTGAGATCAATTTTGAGATCGACAGAGAGGTGTGGGTAATGAGATCGATGGTGAGACCGATCGATCAGGAAATCGACCAGGATCCCAGGAACCCATAAATCTGGGAATCCCGCCGCCCACCGAAATCGGCCCAGAACCCGAAACCGGGAGTCCGGGAACCCAGAACCGGGAACCCGCGAACCCGGTGGCCTACCAAAATCGCCCCAGCATTTTCGCCAAATCTTTCCATCTCCGCTAGGACCCCTTGCACTGGTTGGGGAACATTCAACACACAACACACAACGCATACCACACAACACTAAACGTGCAACACACATCACACAACATACAGCACACAAGTCACAAGACACTGCACACAACGCACAAGACACAACACGCAACGCGCAACACACAATACACAACACGCAGCAGACAACACTCAACATACAACACAACACACAGCACACAACATACAACACACAGCACACAACACGCAACACACAACGCCCACAACACGCAGCATACAACACACAGCACCACACAACATACATCACACACCACACACCACACAACATGCAACACACAACGGACAACACGCATACCAAACAACACGCAACACACACAACACGCAGCATATAATTTACAACACACAGCACATCCAGCACACAACACACCCCACACACCACACAACATACAGCATACAGCACACAGCACTGAAGATACGACACACCCCACAACAATGCAACACACAACACACAACACACAACACACAACGCACACCAGGCAACACAGCACCCAACATGCACCACACAACACGCACACACGACACACAACACGCAACAAGCTCCGCACAACATACAGCACACAGCACACAACCCAAACACAACACACATCGCACAAAGCACACTGCACAACACACAACACACAACACACAGCACACAACACACAACGCACAACGCAGACTACACAGCACGCAACACACAATTCACATCACACAACATACAGCACACAACCCACAAAACACAACACACAACACGCAACACACAACACACACAACACAACACAACATGCTCAGCACACAACACGCACCACTTAACGCATCACGCACAAAACACAACGCACAACACACAGCACACAAGACACAACACACAGCAACAAACACCACACACACACAACACACACACAACACACACACACGGACGCACCACGTGCCCGAGCTTCTCCTCACAGTGTTCGGCCTCGGTGAGGCCGCTCTCAGGCCCAGGGCTCCCCAGGCCCACCCCCGGGGCCGTCGACGAGCCACCGGGGGGCAGCGACTCGACAGGCTCCCGCCGCTGGAGGCGTGGGCATTGCGGTGCTGCGGACACAGGCGGACCTCCGAGGCTGCCCGCCCCTGGCGGGCCTCGGCAGGCGAACCCCCACTGCAGCGCGGGGGGCGGTCTCGGTACCCCAGCCCTGGGGCGCAGAGTGCCCCAGCCCAGAGATCCAACGCATGGGAGAAATCAAGACGGAGGTTTTTCGCAAAGTTCGGCCCCTAGGGGACCTCGCCGGGCCGCGGGACCGTCAAAAGCTGAAAAACATGCAGAATCGCGAAAACATCAAGTCGGAGCCCCAGACCCCATCTCTTTCTGGGGTGCATTCCTCCGGCTCGATCTGGGATGGTCCTGGGGCCCGAAACAAGGCAGCGCCCGGATCTGAGGGGAAGCAGCGCGTGGGTGTTGAGACAGCCTGGACTGACCTCGGTGGCGGCCTGTTCGGGGGCCAGACCAGGCTGCCTCCTCGGAGCCGCCTTGCCGGGCAGCGCGCGCCGGCCCCGGCCGCGAGGAGCTCCGTGCCGATCCCGCCTTTGCGTGCGACCTCGGGCTGGTGCTGAATTACCCGGTGTGCCGCGCGAGGAGCTCGTGGGCGAAGAACATTTCCGTACCCCTTGGGCCACGACCCCGCGGATACGGGGCGTTGCTTCGCGGATACCCCACGCGGAACGCATCTGTGCGACCGCGTATCCGCGGGTTCGCCGCTCATGAAGGAACGTCTCGAGGCTGGTGCAGCTTCTCATCGACCTCATGGCCGGCCGCGCTGAGCCCCCGAAGGCAGCTGCCCAGCGCCTGCATGCGGTGCTGCGCGCCGCCACCGCGCTGTCTCAGAGGCTCGGGGCGGACGAACTGGGGGATACTCGACGGCGAATTCCGAAACCTACCCAGACGAGCGAACAACACACACGCACACCCATATCCACGGGGATCGGAGGGAGGAGGTCTGGCTATGGGCATCGGTGCAGGTTGTCGGACCGCGGGGGAGGCTCCCGTTCGAGCGGGGACCCCCATCCAACAACACGCACCCGTAGCCTGCTCCGTCCCCCCTATGAGTATGGGTGTGCGTTGTTCGTTCGTCATACCCTCGCCCATCAACGATTCAGGCATCTCGATGGGCGGCGGGGGCAGAGTTCGGAATTCGTCGAACTCATGGCTAAATCTAACCTCTACCCTCGCCTCATCTTTTCCAGGATAATCGATGGTTGGTGGGGGTAGGATTCGGATGGCGCCACGTAGATACGGCAGGCACGTTAAATAAGGAACGGGCCTGTCAGCAGGTGCCGCACGGAAGTTTCTTAAGTGTCAGGAGTTTTGGCTTAGCTCGGTCCTCCGGTTCTAGCCCACCATGCTTGAGCCCGACACTTTATCCACGTCCTGGTTCCAGGCGTCAAAGTCCCGAGCTTTTCCCAGCTTACCGCCCCGCGGAGCAGAGTGAGTGATACGCTCTCCGCTCGCAGGGCACAGCGTGTCGCTGGGGCCGCCGCCGCGAAACGCTCAGCAAAAATTCCTCACTATATCCCCCGATGGCCCTGGGGCCGCCCACAGCCTAGGGGCAGCTCAGGGGGCGCAAAGCTCGACGTCAAACATGTTTTTATTCCCCAAGCAGTGCTTGCACCCAGGGCTTCTCACTTCAATCCTATGGGACTGGGCCCAGGTGTTGGTCTGGCGGCTATGTTGCTGCCGTCGCCGCCGCCCGTCGCCGCCGTCCGTCGCCGCTGCTTCTAGGCCTGGGTGTCGGTCACCACGCTCGGCTGCCGCCGTCGCCGCCGCCCGTCGCCGCCGTCCGTCGCCGCTGCTTCTGGGCCTGGGCGTCGGAGGCCGCGCTTGGCTGCCGCCGTCGCCGCCCGTCGCCGCCGTCCGTCGCCCGCTGCTTCCGGGCCTGGGCGTCGGAGGCCGCGCTTGGCTGCCGCCGTCGCCGCCGTCCGTCGCCGCCGTCCGTCGCCGCTGCTTCTGGGCCTGGGCGTCGGTCGCCGCGCTCGGCTGCCGCCGTCCGTCGCCCGCCGCCGCCGCCCCGCCCCGTTGCACCCCCTTTCCCATTGCATTGCAGTCGATGGCAATCGACTGCAACAGATCTCGCCAAACAGATGGCATCACGTGGGGTCTCCTTCCCAAGAGAGTGATAGGATTTCCCCCCCCCCCCCCTCTCCCGGATTTAACGACTCCCCCTCCCCTTTCGCACTGCAACTTGCATGTGATTCTGCCCCATCGTCCATCCCAACTTTGAGTTCATACCGTCCCAGGCAGGCCAATATCGGCCCCCCCCTGCATAACCTGCAAGAAAGCAAATATGCGCGCGCACCCGTTTATCAAAAACCAGCCGTTTCCGAAATCCCTTGCAACAGACGGGACGAAGTGCACACGCGCGCGTCGTCGTGCGCGCATGCCAAAATCCTTCAAACACTTCTCTGGTTTCGCAAGGATTTCAACTTCGAGTGTCCCGAAGATTTGTGAACACATGGTTTCACATCAGGAATTGTCAAGCACAACTTGCGCACGTGCTCTGATGTATTCTTAAGAAAACCATCGGGCTTTCTACATCTTCATGACATGCTACCAAACGGGCCTCTCGCGCGCGCATGTCGAAATCGTTCAGGCGCCCTGCGCGCGTGCTGTCGCAAGAAACCCTTGCAATCCATGGGACGAAGCGCACACGTGCGCGTCGTCGCGCGCGCACGCCGACATCTTTCAAAATCTTAGGTATCGTCAGGGCATCAAAATCAAATGCCCCGACAGCACATATATATATATATATATATATATATATATATAAAACGCACATGTGTTTTGCAACGCCAGTTCTCAACCAAAGCCTGCCCTCGCGGTCTTGCAAAATCTTAGGTCTACCATAGATGTTTTAAACATTGCCATTCCATTCTGCCTAAAGGGCCTCTCGCGCCGCATGTCGAAGTCATTCGGACGCCCTTGCGCGCGTGCTTTGGGGGGGGGGCACGATCCGTTTCAAATAATGCCATGCGGCCCACTCGCTCGTCGGCCGCGCGCGCATGTCGAACGCCTTCTTAAACTTACGTCACCGACGCGAGGACGCTGTCATCGTCGTCGGCGTGATCAGCATCGGTGCCGTCACTGGCCTTGCCGTCGTCGTTGCCATCATCGCCACCATCATCCGCGCGTGCGCCGTTGTCGACGTTGCCATGATACCGCGCCCGCCCAAGTCGCCGACTCGCATTGAAATGCCCGCTGGGCAGTGTCCAGCGGTCAGCGTCACCGCGGCTGCGTCGGTCGCGCCAAACTAGCTGGACGCTGCGCGCGCGAGCATGCGCGGACTAGCGCGGCCGCAGAGATGCACAACTTCTGCAAACCAAATTGCGGGTTGGTGGGTGGGATGATTGTGCGAGCAGTGGAGCGGGCATATCCAAGTCCTTTCATATTTTGCGCCACATAGATTGCGCTCCACATATTGTACAACACGCATACAGACATACATACATTCATGCATGCGTGCGTGCATTCATACCCATATAATAGGAATCGCACCGCACACGTTGCATTCCATCGACTGCTTCACATAGCTGGCACAACCTATACTGCACCGCGCAGATAACACAACAAACAGTTCCCAACATAAGGTGCACAGCACCGGTCGCACCACGCAGGGTGCACAAGCTAGGTTCTTCTTTCTAAAACAAGGGAGTAGGATCTACTGCTCCCCCTCCCCATGGGATTGTGGATGCATCCTGGGGATTTGCAGTTTACATATGGTTGTGCCCCAACGTTCGCTCTAAGTAGAATCCAAACCATCCCAGCCAAGCGGGCCATCCCCTTTCATCCCTTGCGAAAAGTATGATGTGCGCATGTGCGCTTAGCACAATTCGTCCGTTTTCAAGAATTCGCTGTGCCCAATGGGATGGAGTGCGCACACGCGCGTCGTCGTGCGCCCGCGCACGCGGGGATTTTTCGAGAACCGTTGTTTTCGGAAAGATTTGGTATCCATCATCGGCGCCCTCATTGGCCTTGCCGTCGTTATTGTTGTCCTGCTACTGTCATCAACCTGTTTGTCGTTCGTTGTCGACGTCGTTATGATATTGGGCCCGCCCGCGTCACCGACCCGCACTGAAGTGCCTTCGCGTCAGCGCGGCATACGAGACGCGTTGGGGAGTGTCCATCGGTCAGCGCCACCGTGGCTGCGTCGGTCGCGCTTGACTACAGGCTGGGGCATTGTCCACTGCCGCATAGCACTTGAGAAATTATGTGAGCGATGGTTGCACCATGTGATACAGTCGCCGAAGCACTGTGCGCTTCGGATGCCCACTCGATCTTCGCCAGCTGCGGCGCAGGAGTGCAACATGTCGCCCAGTATGTCTGATCACTACACATCGTTCTCGTCCACGTGTTTGTACCCGCGACGTGTGTGAGGCACCAAACAAATTGGGAGGACGTTTCAAGCGAAACCGCGCCGAAGCTAGTCGAAACCAGGGGCGACACCAGGCACATTGCGAGCATGCCTCAGGCGGTTTGCGCCGCCCCAGAGGGTCAAACCATGCGAGAGCATGGCGAAATCACGACGGCGACGACGACGATGACGACGGCGACGACTACGACGTTGACGTGCGCTGTTGCCCGAATTGCAGCCATCCTGGCGTTCTCGCATCGACGCTGGCTAGTGTCATCGGTTTGGCCGACATTCTCCTCTAAGCAAGGAGAGGCTCTCCGGGCGGCTCTTCCCCTCCTCGGGAAGGGGACGTGCCAGGGGGAATCAACGCCTCCCCCCAAGGGGGACATCCTGCTGCTACCCCCCAAACAAACGCGTGCGGATCATGCTGCTTTGGGGAGGGGTGTGTGAGACTGAATGGGCGAGCCTGGCTCGGGTCCGTCCTCTGCAGAAAGCAGCTCAATACATGTCCGTTGATAAATGAGTGGGGGAGGATGGGAAGATGGCGGACGAGGGGTGAGAGTAGGAGTAGGAGATGGAATAGGAGAGGGAGGAGGAGGACGAGGAGGAGGAGGAGGGAGAGGAGGAAGAATAGGAGGAGGAGGCGGAGGAGGAAAAAGAAGAGGAGGAGGACGAGAAACTGAAAAAGGAGGGGGCGGAGGAACAGGAGAAGAAGAAAAAGGAAGAGGAAGGGGGAGAAACGCGAGGAGGAGGGGGGAGGTGGAGGACGAGGAGGAGGAGGAGGAGGAGGAGGAGGAGGAGGAGGAGAAGGAGGAGGGGCGGACGAGGAGGAGGAGGAGGAGGAGGAGGAGGAAGAGGAGGAGGAGGAGGTGGTGGAGGAGGAGGGCAATGAACACGTACGTAGGATTAAGTTGGGCCATGACAGCGCCCGAGGCTGGGCAAATTGCAGAGATTTCGCTTGATATGCGCGCAGTATGCCGATCCGAACCAAGGATTTTGCAAGGGCCCCGCCAGACACGCTCGACTCGAGGCGTGCCGAAGTTACCCCAAACCATGCCAGGCGAAACCGCGCCCAAACCATGGTCAAACCAGACAAGTTGCAAGGGCGTCTCAAGCGAAAGCGCGCCCAAACCAGAGCAACCAAGCAACTTGGGAGGACGTCTCAAGCGAAACGGCGCTGAAACCAGGAGAAGCTAGACAAATTGCGAGGACCTCCCAGGCGAAACCGAGCCGAAATCATGCGAAACCAAGGCAAACTGCGAGGACGTCTCAGGCGAAACCGATCCCAAACCAAGGCAAACCAAGCAAACTGGGAGGACGTTTCAGGCGAAACCGGGCCGAAATCATGCGAAACCAGGTGCGAAGCCAGGCAAATAGTGAGGATGTCTCAGGCGGCTTGCGCCGCCCAACCGGGCCAAACAAGGTGACATCAGGCGAAACCAAGGGCGAAACCAAGCAAATTGTGAGGACGTCCTGGGCAGAATCGCCGAAACCAGGCTCCATCCATTCACCGTGAGAACATTCAAACTTAAGGAGTCGATGACCACAGGGCCCCTCCCCTGCAGGCGCAAACCCGTTTAGGATTTTACAGGGGGGGAGCGTTTGAACCACGTGTTCGCTGAGGTTGACGGGGTTTGGCGCGGAAGGTTTCATTTCTCTTTTTGTTGTTGTTGGGGCCTTGGTGTGGCGTTCGGAGAGCTGTTTCCGAACTTGTCGCTGGCCGCACTGCGCGCCAGGAGTTTTTTTTGTGTGTTTTTCCTGTTAAAAAATATTCCAGGGCGGCGACGGCCGTCACCTGGGGGGGGAGGGAGGGCCAATGACGTCACGTTTCGCGCCCCGATGACGTCACGAATCGCGCTGGCGGTGTCTTGGAATGTCTAGGAATGACTGAGGACGGGCAGCAGCAGCATGTAGGTGGCGATCTGCACAACAGCGCCCGTGTACACCACAGTGCCTGCGTGCACCACAGTGCTTGTGTACACCACAACGCCTGCGTACACAACAGCAGCCGTGTGCAGCATTGTACTATTGTGCACCACAGTGCCTGCGTGTACCACAGCGCCTGCGTACACCACGGCGCCTGTGTGCACCAGAACAACCGTGTGCAACATGTCACCATTGTTGTACATAGGTTTTTAGAACGAATCCTTATGACAAAACGGAGTGCGTGTGGATCCCACAGAAAATAGTTATTTATGTAGGATTTGGAAAGGAGTTCTCATGAAAAAGTGAGCGCCGCTGGAATCTACGAGTCCTCCGGAGTCCTCCCGAATCATCCTAACTCCGCCCATCTGCGTCCAGAAGACTCCCGCAGAATTGGCCGTCCGAAAACCAAGCGGACATTCTGCCTTGCACTTTGGGATGCACACGTGCATTGTTGCGCCTACCCGCACGACGGCGGGAAGGCTGAGGGAGGAGGAGGCAGAGAAGGAAGAGGAGGAGGAGGAGGAGGAGGAGAAGGAGGAGGAGTAGGAAGAGGAAGAGGAGGACGAGGAGGAGGAGGAGCAGGAGGAGGAGGAGGAGGAGGAGGAGGAGGAGGGGGAGGAGGAGGGAGGAAGGAAGAACATCGCATTCTACTATCAGCACTTTCCTTGCGTGGTGTTTAGCTGTCCCCAGTAGATCCTCACCTACGTGCTTCTTCTGGCTGTCCTGTGCATGCAGGCGCTGCGGTGTGCACAGGCGCTGCGGTGCACTCAAGTGTTGACGTGTATACATGCGCTGTGTTGCACATGGTTGCTGCGGTGTACACATTCGTAGTGGTGTACACAGGCGTCGTGGTGCACGCAAGCACTGAAGTGTACACAGGCGCTGTGTTGCACACGGCTGTTGCGGTGTACACAGGCGCTGTGGTGTACGCGCGCGCGCGCAGTGGTGCACGCGATCACTGTGGTGTACACGGGCGCTGCTGTGGTGCAGATCGCCACCCACATGCTGCTCTTGCTTAGCTTCGGTCATCCCTAGGCGTTGCCGTACGTCGCCGGCGCGGAACGTGACGTCATCTGGGGCGGGGGGGGAGGCGGGGCCGGTGACGGCCGCTGTCCCGGAACATCAAAAACAGGCTCGAGCTAGGGCGGCCGCAGCGATGCGCCAACCAGCGCCGAGCTGCTATCGCAATGAACGCCGCATGGGTTGTGCAAACCAGCAGTGGAGTTGACAGTTCACCGCGAGGAACAGTTAAGTGCATCACATATAGATTGCATCATGTAGATGGCCTCACGCCGATTGCACAACACACGTTGCTAGAACCACACAGTTGGGAGTTCGCGCTGGCTGGCATATTTCTCAAAACAAGATTTGTTGTCGCACGCGCCTGCTGTGTTTGGGGCAGGGGGCGGTTACGAACACTGCGGCATGCAGCGGGTTTCGGCGCCGCCGCCACGCCCTTTCCTCGATGCGTGGGCGGCGCTGGCGCTGGAAGCCGGATAACTAAATGCGCGAGCTGATTCGCGAACCCTCGGCGGAGGCAAAAGAGCGGGAGGAGGAGGAGGAGGAGGAGGAGGAGGAGGAGGAGGAGGAGGAGGAGGAGGAGGAGGAGGAGGAGGAGGAGGAGGAGGGGGAGGGGGAGGAGGGAGGAAGGAAGAACATCGCATTCTACTATCAGCACTTTCCTGGCGTGGTGTTTGTTATCCCCAGTAGATCCTCACCTACGTGCTCCCTCTACCTGTCCGGTGCACGCAGGGGAGCCCCGTCGAAGATGTGGGCGATCGGTGCCTCGGGATGCATGCAGTGCTCCCCCCCAAGGCTATCTGCCCCTGTTGCAGCCGCCGAGCCCCTCCCTTCCTGCCAGCCCCTCCTTTCAGGGGCAACGGTCGGGGGGGATCGGCTCACGGGCTGGACATCTTGACCCCGAGTCGCCCACTCATCTAGGGCGACGATATCTATACATATCCACTGCTCCCGGCCAGGCCAATCCTGGGCCCAAGAGCTGTGTATACGCCCTCCTGGCTTGGCCAGGGACGCATATACACCGCTCCTGGGCCCAGGATGGGCCTGGCCAGGAGCAGTGGATATGCATAGATCTCGTCGCCCTATCATCGCCCACGCCACCCAGTGACGTGCGGATTCGCTCTCGGACGTGCCGAGATCCGGGGACGACCCGCGTGCACCGTGCCGCGCCGGCGCCTGCCGAAGCGCCGGCGACCCTCTGTGCCCAGGAAGGCTGCGGCGCGTGTGGTTCCCGAGGCCCCCAGGGCCGACCCACTGTGCACCGCACCTCGCTGGAGCGGGGCCGAAAGGGAGTCCAAACATGGTGTGCGGTGTGTGGGCGCTCGTTCTCGTAATTTCGACTAGAAAAATCACGACGGGAAGTTGTTCATGATTTTTGACCTCTGGGGGCCCTTGCCGGCCCTCGGGACCGTCAAAAAACGATTCAGGACGAAAAACTGGTCCCAGGGAATGGGTCCAGACCTCTGGGGGTCGACGTCATGAAAAATTCATGACGTCGGGGGTCTGAGCTTGGAGTCGACTAGACGTAAGAGTGACCTTTCGCCGGAGTGACCTCTGGTGCGGGCGCAGATGGGTCCCCGGATGGCTGAAAACGGAGCAGGGGCAGCGGCGTGCGCGCCCAGGTTTGGCCCCCCCGCGCCCCCCAAAAAGCCGCGCACCAGAGGTCACTCTTACCCAGGCTTGCTCCTGCGTGTAGGCGATAATTGCGCGAGAGGCACGCGGGGCTGCGGCTGCGCCACGTCGACGCCATGCGCTCCGCCCTGGTCGGCGCCGCGTGCAGGCTCACCGCGGGCTGCGGCGGCGGCGCCCCCGAGGAGCGCCGGCGGCGGAACGCCTGGGAATCGTTCGGCTTCGCCGTGGGCGCCGCGGTGGCCCCGGTGCTCATGCTCTCGGACCCAGGCCCTTTGGCGGACCTTTCTTCCCCCCCTCAAGACTGAGGGAAGGAAATGGTACCGATACCGATGCCGCTGCCCTTGCCTCGTTTGCGCCTCCGTGGGCCTCCTGGGAGGCCCTCGTCGCCACCGCTGGGTTCGCCTCGAAATTCTGGTCAGAACGCGCCCAGGGAGAGATCCTGGAGTAGCGGTATCGGTACCGCTTGGTCTTCCCACAGACGGTGCCTGCAGTTAGGGGTTCTTACTTGTGCCACTCAGGGATTCAGGGAGGACCGCCTCGTGCGCTGGGTGGGTCTGGTGAGGTTTCGCCACCTTGTCGTCGGTGGCCGCCTCGTGGCCCAGGCCTCATGGCACACGGTGCTGATCTTCTCCGACTCTGGCCGTGTGGCGAAGCTTTTTTAATTCCCCGCGATTTTTCTTTAGTTCTCCGAGGCGGGGGTTTGTTCATAACCACCGCCTGGAGGGATCGATCTTCAGGGACCTCGGCAGGCGGTGGACTTCAGCCCCCCTGGGGTAACAACTATGTCCACACGTATCCACCGCCGCCTGGGGTCCCAGGAAGTCGGTTCCTCAGGTGGTGGATGTGAATAACTTCCCGCCTCGAAAATTCAAGCCTGCGGGGGTTGTTTCTCGAAGAAGAACGAAACTCAACAAGCATTGGCTTTCGCAGGTCCGCGCTGATTTCTTGGATGTCCGCGCGCGCCTCCCGTGCCACGAACTCGCGTGACACGCCGTCGGCTTGCTTCCTGGTCTGCGCGGGCATCAATTGGGCTGCTGCGCTGCCCACTCGTCCCTCTTTGTTGCTCCTCATCTTGGCAGGTCGACTTGTGCCACTGCGCCGGCGTACGCGTGAGAGTATGATGTGCGGGGCTGCCTTTTCTCAGGAGGGAAAGAAACACACAGACACAATGAATCTGCGATTCCCCAGAAAATATGGGAAAATATGGGAAGTGGGGGGGAAGACGAAAACCCAGAAAATATGGGAAAATATGGGGAATCTGTTTATTTGTGTGTGTATTTATTTGTGTGTCCTGGGGCCCTTTTATTTTCATGGAAAGCACAGCTTGCCGGGCACAGCGCGTCGCACGGACTCGCGAGCGAGAGGAGCACACCCGTGCCCCTGCCCTCACGTGCTGGCCTCTGGGGGCGCGAGCCCGTGGATGCGCGATGGCATGCGACGGCGACGGCGACGGCGACGGCGACGACGGCGACGACGACAACGACGACGACGACGGCGACGAAGACGACGACGAAGACGAGCAACGACGATGACGACGACGACGACAACGACGACCGCGACGACGACGGCATCCGCGCAGACTCGCCATGCACCATGGGGGCCAGGGGGAAGTCGGGCGTGTCGCTCCACAGGAGGAATGTCCAGAAATAGTCAAACAGTAGGCTGGGGACGATTTTTGGACTATCTTTGACCACCTGCGGATTTTTTTTTGATTTTTTCCTTTTCCGTCCAACATCCGCCTGCAGGGGGACATGCCCGACCGAAGGCCAGGGCCGAGGAGGCTGGGCCGCGAGGCCGCGGAGTGTGGATCTGCCCACCGCCCACGAGGGACCGCCGCCACGGCACGCCGCACAGAGGCTCCCCGCCGCGGTCCCTTCTCGGCCCCAGACGCCCGACGTCGTGCCCTGTTTCCAGGGAGGAAAGACCACCGGGGCCTGACGACTTGGCGCTCACGGAGCGGCCCTGTGCGTTGGACTGCACGGCCCTGCCCGGGTCGATGCCTTCTGTGCGGGTGCGTTTTTGCTGCACGGCTTCGCGCGTCGGGGCGATCAGTCCTGGGCGTGGCTGTTCTGCCCTCTGTTGTTCGGCTGCGCGTAAGAGAGTGGCCCCTTCGCCGGAGGGGCCTTTGGTGCGGGCGCGCTCTGGCGTGGTCTCCCCACGGCCCCCGAACGTCGCGCTGCCTGGGGCCACTCTTGCGTGCAGCCAGCTGCTCCACCGCAGGGTTCCCCCCAGGGCTCTGTGCGCCTTCCTTCGGGCCAGCTCTTCGTTCCGAGCCGTTTTGTTGACGGTCCTGGGGCCGAGCAGGGCATGCCGAAGACGGCCAATAACCATGTCTTCGTGAGTTCTTCTTCACGGCGCGAGGATGTCCAATGAACAAGATCCTGGAGGCCTCTCGCGGCGCGCAATAGTCGTATCATCTAGTCCGCGCGTCCGCCCCGTCAGATCTGGGATGACGTTTGGACGGCGATGCGCTGGCGTAAGTCCGACGTGAACCCGACCTGAATCCGATGCAAGTCCGGCGTGAACCCGACATAAAGCCGACGTAGACTTGCGGGAAACCAGGCCTCAAGCTGCCGCGCGAGCCCTCCAGGATGTTCCGCATACGGTCCATGGGCTCCAGAGCTTGTTCAAGAAAACCGAGAATCTGGACTCCACCCTGGGCGTTTTCAAGGAGCCCCGTTCCTTCGTAAAGTCTGCGTGTATTTGGTCTCGGGGCATTGTTTTAGTGAAGGCAATGTTCTTAGCGTGAATTTCTTCACTCTCAACAGAAGATGTAGTCAGGGTCTCAACCCGCACAATCACGGTCTGATCGGGTGGGGCTAGGACGAAGATCAATTCGTTCCAGGGCGTTCTGGAACGCTCTCAGAGCTGTCTGGAGCGCTCTGAGAAGGCCGCGGCGCCCCAGGCATCCTCCAGACCGCCGCATCTCAGAGATCCTCGGTGTACCCTCACCCGATTTTGTCCACGTCCTGGTTTCGTCTGACTTCAGGGGCGGAAAAACCACCCGGACCCGACAATTGGCGTTTACTAAACGGCCTTGGGCGTTTACCAAGCAACCCTGCCCTGATGGATTCCTTCTCTGGGTGCGTTCACTAAACGGCTCCGCGTGTCGGGGCGATCAGGATGGGGGTGGATTTCCCGCCCTCTACGACAGTCAACCCGCACAGCAAGGGTGGGCAACCTTCCCAAGGGTACCCTTGCATCCCTGCCTCCTCGGTCCATCCTTGGCCAGTTTCGCTGGCCGCGCTGTGCTCGAAGAGCTTCGAAATGGCCCTCCGAGGCCCTTGGCATCCTTATCCCGCATCCTTACTATACGGGTTGACTGTACAGGGAGTTCAACAAAACCTAGGTCGGCATGCCCGGGCTCAGCCTCGCGGACCTACTCTAAAACCATATCTTTAAAACCCTTGTTTAGTGCCGCGTCATTGCGTTTTTTTTTTTTTTGTTTGTGTGTGTGTATGTGTGTTTGTGTGTTTTCGGGTTAAAATGGAACACATACTATATATGTGTATATAAAAAACCATAGTTTTGTGGCTCGCCCCGGCGCGGCGCTCCAAATTCTACGCGACAACTCAGAATTCAAAAATCCTTGTTCTTTTTAAACCCTTGTTTTTTCAAACTCCCTGTGCTGCGCCCGAGGCCACGACTTCTGCGGGGCCGTGGCCACGCCGCTGCCCACCCCGGGCGCGGGCCCGTGCGGGGCGCTGCTGGCCGCGCACGGCGCCGCGCTGCTGGAGATGTCGGTGGGGCTGCTGCGGCGCAGGCGGGCGGCGGCCGCGGCGCCGGAGCCGGAGGCCAGCGGGGCACGAGGAGGAGGAGGAGGAGGAGGAGGAGGAGGAGGAGGAGGAGGAGGAGGAGGAGGAGGAGGAGGAGGAGGAGGAGGAGGAGGCCGCGGGTGTGCGGAGGAACGCCCTGGAGAATTCTGGCGTATTGGCAACGATGTGGGCTTCGGTTTCTCGTCGTTTTCGGCTTCTGTGGGCCCTCGCAGGGCCCCAGGGCCGTCAAATAATGACTCGGGATGAAGAGCCTGTGTCGAGGAACGAATGTATAGCTTTTCTTATGTTCTTCGCGGGCCTCCGGGATTTTTTTTGGGTCGCCACGACTGAATCCGTCTCGACATCCTGGGAGGCCCAGTTTTACATACAGAACAGGGGCCCTGAAGGCATCGTTTTTTGGTTTTTGTTTTTGAGCGCCAGAGGCCGCTCCCAGGCCCTAGGGCCGTCAAAGGCGGCCTGGGAGGAAAGAAAAAGAGGTCGGGGCGCCCCGTTCGGCGGCGAAATCCGAACCGTACCTTCGCTGATGAGGGATTCGGGCAACTCGATGTGCGGCGGGGATAGGGCTCGGAATTCGTCGAGCACGTGGAGAAATCCGAACCCTGCCCCCGCCTCCCATCGATTCAGGAGAATCGCTGGTGGGTGAGGTTCGGCCCCATCTATGATCTGTTGTTCCTTCCTCAGTCTGGACGCGTTTTCCATCTATGTTTTCTTTTTGTTCCTTCCTCCCAGGCCCCTAGGCTTCGCTGCGCCTCGCTCTGGCCCCGAGCTTCCGCGCCTCGCTCCGACTCAAGCCTGCTAGGGCCGCTGGGGCCAGGCCGCTGGGGTACCCGAGACCGGCTCCCCAGCGGATGTCGCCACCTGCCCGTGTCCAAAGGCAATTACACCCTCGCTACGTTTTCCCCAGATTTTCCCAGGATTTGCGACGTCTCCCAGATTTTCCCAGGATTTTCGAGATTTCCCAGATTTTCCTGGGATTTTCGAGATTTCCAAGATTTTCCTGGGATTTTCGAGATTTCCCAGATTTTCCTAGGATTTTCGAGATTTCCCAGATTTCCCCAGAAAGATCACGACTCCGGAGGCCTGGGTTGGGGTGCTGCCGGGGGTGGCCGCTGCCCCGAGGAGGCCCCTGGCTCCTGCAGGGAGGCCCCCGTGCGGTGGCGTCGGGGGTGGGGCGCCCTCCGCGAGGCCCCAAGGGGGCCTCCTGGGAGCTGAGGAGAGCTGCGCGAAACGGCAGGCCCAGGAGCTTCTCGGACCCAGATCCGGTACACCTTTGTCAGCGGCGTCTTGGGTCCAAGACGCGATCGGGACGGCCGAGTGACACTTCGGAGCCTCACGAGGCGCAGCGGGAGGAAGGAGGGGCGCGGAGGGAGGAGGGAAGCCGCGGGGGGCGGAGCACGCTCAGAGCGTGAAAGATGTTGTGTGTGTGTGCGCCGAAGCACACAGGCCCACACGGGTGGCAAACCAGGAGTGGCGGGGCAAGCCTGCGGCCGTACCAGGGTGTGCGGCAAGTTCGTGAGATGCCGGGTGGCTAAATCTTCTAAACGTCGGTCCCTGGACCCCTTCCAGTTTTCGAGCTGCGCCCAGCCGTGGCGATGATACGATGGGGGCGTTCCTCAAGGAATGTGCCTAGGCTTATCTGATGAAGGCGGTGGTGAAGTGAATGGCCAAGCCTTACATGGTGTTCCACCGGCTTCCAGACCTTGGATTCCGTCTCCAAGGGTTCCTTATCCAATGATATCACCGTAGCCTCCAGGCACGCTCAAGCAACAACGAATCGAAGGCGACAACCCTGACGTCAAACGCCGCAACACTTGACGTCAAATGTCGCGAAACAACGACTGGATCCCTGGAGCCTTGTCTTTCTCGAGTATTTTTTTGGCCCGGTCGATCCGCGAGGGTCCTGGGGCCGAAGCTCAGAGTAACAAGAAGTCATGTGAATGATGCGTTCCAAGAGTTTGAAGATTTCCTGCTCATCCTCGCGAACTCCAGAAAGGAGGACCGCTAGAACCTCCGCAGTTCTTGGAACGAACCTTGAGCCAATCGTATCATGACGTCAGTGTCGTTCTAGAACCTGGGCGAGAAACGCCTGGTGTGAAACGGTAGCCACCCCCACTGGGCCCTCACCGCCGCCACCGTCCCCGCCGCCGTCGCCGTCGTCGACCGCCGGCGTCGTCGTCGACGTCGTCACCGTCGGCGTCGTCGCCGTCGCCGCCGCCGTCGACCGCAGGCGTCGTCGTCGTCGTCGTCGTCGTCGTCGTCGTCGTCGCTGTCGTCGGCTTCGTCGTTGTTGGCATCGTCAGCGTCGTCGTCGTCGCCGTCGCCGCCGCCGCCGCCGCCAGCGTCGTCCACGTCGTCGTCGGTGTCGCCGCCGCCGGCAACGTCGCCGTCGTCGTCGTCGTTGCAGTCGCCGCCGCCGCCGCCGTCGTCGTCGCCGCCGTCGTCGTCGTCGTTGCCGGCGGCGTTGCCGCCGGCGTCGCTGGCGTTGTCGTCGCCGCCGCCGCCGTCGTCGCCGCCGCCGTCGTCGATCGCTGGCGTCGTTGTCGTCGTCGTCGTCGTCGTCGCCGCTGGCGTCGTCGGCGTCGTCGCCGTCGCCGCCGTCGACCGCAGGCGTCGTCGTCGTCGTCGTCGCTGTCGTCGGCTTCGTCGCAGTCGGCATCGTCGGCGTCGTTGTCGTCGTCGTCGACGTCGCCGCCAGCGCCGCCGCCAGCGTCGTCCACGTTGTCGTCGGTGTAGCCGCCGCGCCGGCAACGTCGCCGCCGTCGTCGTTGCAGTCGCCGCCGCTGCCGTCGTCGCCGCCGTCGTCGTCGTTGTCGTCGCTGCCGGCGGCGTTGCCGCCGGCGTCGCTGGCGTCGTCGTCGCCGCCGCCGCCGTCGTCGATCGCTGGCGTCGTCGTCGTCGTCGTCGTCGTCGTCGTCGTCGTCGTCGTCGTCGTCTGCGTCGTCTGCGTCGTTGCCGCCGGCATTACCGCCGTCGATGTCGCTGACGTCGCTGCCGTCGTCGCCGTCGCGGCTGCCGCCAGCGACGTCGCCGCCAGCGTCGCCAGCGTCGTCGTTGTTGTCGCCGCCGCCGCTGTCGTCTCGCCGGCGACGTCGCCACCAGTGTTGCCGGCGTCGTCGTCGCAGCCGCCGTCGCCGTCGTCGTCCTTGCAGTCGCCACCTGCGTCGTCGTGCGCTGGCGTCGACGCCGCTGACAGCGCGGCCGTCGCCGTCGTCCGCCTGTGTCGGTGTGGTGTCGTGTGCGCCAGCGTCGTCGCCGCCGGCGTCGTCGGCGTCGTCGTCCGCCGAAGGCCGCGGGACTCGACCGCCGCGCCGAGGAGGTCGCCGGCCGGCTGGCGCAGATCCGGGCCGCGGCCTGCGAAGCGGCGCGCCGCGACGCGCACGCGTACTGCGGTCTGCTGGCCGAGGCCATCTTCGACGCGGCTGGCGGCGACAAGGAGGACCCCACCGCCTGTCCGCCGCCCTGCTCCCTGCCTCTTGGTCGCCCTCCGCTCGTCCTCTTCCCCTCGCCTCTCCCTCTCCTGCGCCCCTCTCTGGCTCCTCGGCTCTCTGCCTGGGCTCCACCGAGGAGCTGCCGAGCTCGCGGCGAGACCAGAACGATTCTTCAACACCCGAGTCGTGCGCACAGCACGTCTCACCACCCACGGCCTGCGCAGGCAGTCTCTCTTTGCTGCGAGCTGGGGGCGCTCCCAGCGGCAGGGGGTGGACGTCAGGCTGTTCGCTCGCTCGCTCGGCCGCACAGGCGGTTCAAGCCCAGACCCGCTCGGCGGGCCGTGGAAAGGAGTTTTTGTTGTAGAGCTCTCGCTGCTGAGGAATTAGGTATTGTTGATCCCCCCCCTCCAGGGCACACTGTATTTTTGTCAACTGAAGTTCCTTTCCCGGGGCTCGCACCTGGTTTTTGTCCTGGAAAGTCTTGGGTCTCAGAATCGGGCCCCTGGCCCCCGAGCTCAACAACAGCGACTCCCGCGTGAAACTTCCTCACACTTTATTCCCAAATCGCGCTCTCGCGCGGGACGTCCTCACAATTTGTACAGAAATCGTACTCTCGCGTGGGACCATTTCGCAATTTATTCAGACGCAGCGCTCTCGACTCAGGAATCACGCTCTCGGCTTTGGCCTATCCCACGATTTACTTGGGAATCGCGCTATCGCTCGAGACTCGTTCATGCAGGACGCACGCTTCAGCAACCCGCCTGCTCGCAGGGCGCACGCTTCAGCAACCCCCCTGTTCGACCTGGTCGCTTGGGCCCGTCTTCCCGACCCGCCTCTTAGGGTATACCAACCCGATCTGCCCGTTTGATTCTCGTTCTGGAGAGACAGCACCCCGTGTTCTCCTCCTCCTTCCTCCTCCTCCTCCCGCCTCACATTCCTCCCCCTCCTCCCTCCTCCCATCATCATCGTCATCAACCCTTCACACGTTTCGTAGCCCCATAGGGATCACCACCTACGGCCCCAGTGGCACCGTTCGCATGTGGGCGTCACCCCGTTTTCGGCACACCTGTCACACGTTTCTTGGCCCATTGGGAGCTCCAGCTAAGGCCCCAGTGGCACCGTTCGCATGTTGGCGTCACTCCCGTGTCGGCACACCCCTCACACGTTTCGTGGCCCCATAGGGAGCTCCACCTACGGCCCCAGTGGCACCGTTCGCATGTGGGCGTCACCCCCCTTTCGGCACACCTGTCACACGTTTCGTGGACCCATAGGGTGCTCCAGCTAAGGCCCCAGTGGCACCGTTCGCATGTGGGCGTCACCCCCTTTTCGGCACACCCCTCAGACGTTTTGTGGCCTCAACAGGGAGCTCCCGCTAATGCCCAAGTGGCACCGTTCGCATGTGGGCGACAACCTCGTTTCGGCACACCCCTCACACCTTTCGTGGCCCCACGGGGAGCTCCACCTAAGGCCCAGTGGCGTAGCCCGCGTGTGGGCGAGTCATCCTTTTCCCAACGCGCCCCCCACACGTTTCGTGGCCCCACAGAGAGCTCCACCTACGGTCCCAGTGGCGCAGCCCGCATTTGGGCGACA